GTTGGGTCTCGCCCTCGCCGCGTTATGCTGAGGCGGGGCTGGCCCTGCTCGTCCTTGCCCCCCGGGCGGTGGGCTGTGCCCCGGCCTCGGCGCCGGTCACCGGGGTGGCTGCCGGGCGGGCGGGCTGGTGCGGCGGTGCCAGCTCTGCACCTTCCAACGCTTAGACCCCGCTCGGAGAAATAATCTATGGCAAAGCCTCCTGAAGTAACCCCTGGGGGGAGGATGGGAATCGAGTGGCAGTTACCGGATCCCGCCGCCCCATTAGCGGCTCCCATGGGAAATGTTGCTCCTCCTGTAGGGTGGGAGAGAAGTTTTTCCTGTTCTGCCAGGTTCAGCATCGACTCTCGTTGCTGCTTTGTCCGGCGGCACGCAGTACCACTGCCCAACCAGGCAAATCCTTCGCCTTTACAATTGCTGGGAGCCAGGCCTTGTCGCTTATGCCTTGAGTTTGAAACAGTGGCAGTATTACGTGACAGGTGGTGCAGTTTAATGATGTGCAGGTGGTTGGAGCTGTGTGAACAGGAGCACAGGCTTACGGGAAACCTTTGTCAAAGGGAAGATGGGATGGCAGTACGGATAGTCTCAGAGCGTGGGCTTGTGGCCGAGACAAAATTCTGAAGGTGGTGGATTAGAGGAATTAAGAACCAATACTCACCAAATTTGCTAGTATTAGAAGAGGGGCACTTGGTGAATTTGGTAGATTAAAGCAGATTAAAAAAAAAAAAAAAAACAACTAAAAAAATACAGTGAATTTCAGGAATCTGCCGGTACGGGAAGTTGTAGAAGTGCTCAGTATTTAACCAATTCCAAAAAAGGATTAGCCAGATTAAAATACATTAGGTTTATAAACAGTATCCTAAAATGACTAGGCAAGGATTTGCTTTCTAACATTCCCAATGTAGCAGCTCTGTGAGCTGGAGGAGTATGAGGGAAGTAGACCACAGACAGTGGCCAGGGTCATGTCGTTTCTTTAAACTGCATTTTTTATTGCTGTTGTCCAGACAGAATATTACCTGGTGTCTAGAGGAACTGTGGACTCGAACCAGTAGGGCATTTCTTATGCTCTTACCTTCCCGGTTTATTTTTTGTAGGGGCACGTATGTGAAATAGCATTGGTTTTTTTTAACTAAGATAAATTCTGTTAATAGCTGAGAGGGCTTGAGGAGCTGAGGCTGGCGGCAGGCGTGATTTCTCTATCAACCCACAGTTTCCTCACCAAGCAGTGAGGGAAGGACTCTTTTAAAAACTTAGTCTAGTTGACAAAATGCATCAGGCTGCTATCACCACATTGTTTTAAATTAGCTTGGGAAAGTATATGCTGCAGATAAGCAACCTGTCAAACTTGTGTTTGTAGACTTCTGGGCTCAAGCTCACTGTAGAGCACTGCAAGGCTGCTTTTGTGTCCTAGTTCTGAGATATTTTTGGCTGTAAAGATTAAGTGTGGACTGAGATGCAGGAAATGTTTTGAAAGTAAGCATATGCTGTTGCATGGCTTTAAATAAGGTCATTTGTTATCTCAAACTTGGTCTCTATTGCATGTTATGAAAGACCATCCAAACTTTTTACATCTATGGTTAAAATAACGCAGTAGTTTTATTTTAGATAGAAATGTGCCAACTGGGCTTTAGTAGGAACACTGTGACCTCTGAGCAAAATACAGAGCAAAACAGGGAATTCTGGTACCATTCAAACATAACTGCTGCTTGCTTTTACATCTGGGAGCAGAGATGCATTAGACTTACATCTTCCTTTACTTCTAAAGGAGCACAGTGTGTGATGTTTTAATCCCTTTTCAGTTTAGTTGCATCCTATTAGACCAGGATATGCTGAAATAGGTGTTGAGTCTTGGGAACTGTACATGTAGTGGAAATGATCAGGAAGCAAGTAGCAAAACCAGTAGATTTCACTGGTCCTGCTGATCTTGAGGGCTTTGGGGAAGTCTTATTCACAACTGGAGGCAAACATGTCTGCCAATACATCATCTGCAATTTCTGGGTCCACAGTTGCATCTGGTAGCTATTCCAGAGGGGATTTCACTGCTGCTGTTGGGTGTGTTAGTAGAACTTGCTTCCGTTTGGTAAGAATGATACCTGCTTTGAAGAGGGAGCCAACTGCTTGGGAGGAAGAACAGAAGACACAGGTACTAAGTTAATAGCAGAAGCAGCTTAGTCCCAGAATGTGTATGTGGTTTACAGATACTATAATGATTGTTTGCAAATACTGTGATAATCATTTCCAGGAATCATTGCATCACTGTTGTGATTTATTGTCATCTACTATAAGGAAGTCTTAATGAAGAAACATATAAAAAAAAGGGGGGGAGGAATCACTGAGGGAGGCAAGCAGGGAGCTTAGAAGGGGACTGCCAGAATCCAGTGTTTTCAGTTGTCTGATTTATTCCATATTAGGAAATCTTCTCCCTGCCTTTATGATAGTGTTTATTCATGACCCAGTGTCTTGGGTAGTATGTGCAGAGTAACAGTCCTTTATTGCAGTCTGGGAAAAATGGAATGTATGTAATATTTTGAAACGGCTGATACTGGTTCCTGGTTGCAGGCTTTGTTGACCCAAGGCATCCCTTCATAACCACATTATTGTCTGCTGGAGACTTCTGTAGAACAGAAGGGAACGGTCAGGAAGCAAAGATGATCTTCAAGCAACTGCCCCTTGAAGCAAAGGCTGCAGTGGCTGCAGGAATGGTTTTCTTCTCCATGATGCTATCGCGGAGTTACCTGGCAGAAAAACTTGATCTCAGGACACGGCGCTGGCTTCTGAGGTTGCAGATGGCACTATTTGCTAATGCGCTCATGTTGATAGGATCTCTTCATGTTTGGAGAAGCACAGTCACCACGTTCTCCAGGTCCTCGGCAGCCAGCTCCTTCTGTTTCATGCCGTGGAAAATAGCTGTGTTCATGTTTCTAGCTTTGGCTCATTCAAGCTTCTTCACGTTGCTATTTCTTGTTGCAGAAGAGCCCTATTTTTTTTCTTTAGCTGCCTACACTTGCTTGGGGGCCTATATCATTCTTATCTTCTTCCTCTTCACTCTAGGCTCTGTAGAACAGGCTTACAAGTTCTTGGCTGGGAGAGGCACTAAGGCAGGTCCTATCAACAAGAACAGAACAGTGATGAAACCAGTTTTGGCAGTCATGCTGACTGCTGTGCTGACTGTTGTGGGGTTGTTAAATGCTTCCCAGCCTCCTACTGTGAATTCAGTGGAGGTTCCAGTTCACAAGTTACCCTCAGCAATGAATAATCTGAAAGTGGTGTTGCTTTCAGATATCCATCTGGGGCCTACAGTTGGCAAGACCAAGCTTGCCATGATTGTGAGAATGGTTAAGGCTTTAAAACCAGATATCACTGTGATTGTTGGGGACCTGACTGACTCTGAGGCAGAGATCATACGACCTGCTGTTGAGCCTCTTGGAGAACTTAACTCCCCTTTGGGGACTTACTTTGTGACAGGAAACCATGAGTACTACACATCAGATGTTAGTAACTGGTTTGAGCTGTTAAAATCGTTTAACATTCGGCCACTCCATAATGAGAATGTGAAGATTGTTTCACCAAAGAGCACTGATGACTGGTTCTGCCTGGCTGGTGTTGATGATATTGAAGCAGATGTATTACGCTACTCGGGACATGGCATGGATTTAAAAAAAGCTCTTGCAGGTTGTAGCAGTGAGCGTGCAATAGTGCTGTTAGCTCATCAACCAGTTGCTGCAAAGTGGGCCCTTCAGGAGAGACCAGACATAAATTTAATTCTCTCTGGCCATACTCACGGAGGTCAGATGTTTCCACTAAATGCTGGCGCTTATTTTCTGAACCCATTCTTTGTTGGCTTGTATAAAGTTGGGCAGAACACCTTTGTCTACGTCAGCCCTGGGACAATGTACTTTGGAATACCCATGAGGCTGGGCAGCAGAGCTGAAATAACAGAGATAATTCTACATTCTCCTTGAGGAGTTTTCCACTTGACAGACTTCTACCATCCATTTTGGTCAGTATATTGGCTCTTTCTGCTCTGAAAGCAGATCCTTTTTCAGGGAAGACAGGGAAGATGTTTTGGGGTGGACTACAGCAGTTTGTAAAGTTTGAGCAGAAAACATTAACATATCTTGGGCCTATGAAACAAATTGGGAGCATGTTAAAATATTGAAGAAATTAATACTTTGAGTTCATTATTATTAAGGTTCTGCATTTAAAGGTAACACCGATGTCATGGACATAATATGTCCCGTGCATGTTTAGTAACACCTGTGTCCTGCGGCTACTTCATGTTCCACTGTTTATTATCCATCAGGCAGCTGCCTTATCAAATATCAGACAGGTGAAGTTCTTATTTCTTGCAGTGAAGTCACTTATGCATGTTTTGCAGATGAGACTACAGAGTGTCCACTGTGTATTTTAAACTCTAGAAGCCTTATGCTAGAAATGTTATGGGAAGGGTATAGTTGTTGAGTTTGGGGTTTTTTTTTATTGAGGCTGGATACCTTTATCCTGCCAGCTGTCTGCAGCATGCACTAGAGCTTCCAGTCTGTGCTGCTTACCAGTACAGTAAGTCACCGAGTATCAGTTCCTGAAATAATTTTTTTTTCCGTTTTAAAAGCTGAGGAGACTGATATTAAAGGGTGAAAGTAGTTGTCTTTCTGCAGGCATTTTCCCCAGAATAACTAGACATCTAGTAATTGCTTCCCAAAATTAGCTCTAATAACAGTAAATGAGAAATGTTATTTACAAGTTTTCTAACTTCTGTTGCTGTCTGAGCATACAGTACCTCCTGATGAAGAGCACAAAATCCAAAGCTGAAATACACAGTCTCTTTTCATTCTGTTTTTTGTGGTTTATGCTTAATTTCTCTTCTGTGATTTTTTTTTGGTTTTTTCTCTTACAAGAGTAAGGAGATGCTATTTGAAAACAATGCAAATAGGCTAATGCTTGAATTTTGTTTAAAGTTTTAACATTTCATGTAAATGGTGTCCTTTTTAAGAAGACTAAACTCTGCAGCAGGTGAATTTTCTTAATAGCAATTGTGTGTCAGCGTCCTGGCTGTCAATAGGCACATAGCAGAAGAACTGCTACAGGATAATGAGGGTGAAGAACTTCTGTCTTTCCTAGAAGGGTTTAACACAAATTAATATCATTCTGGGAAATTTGAGAGATTAGAAAATATTAAAAACATTCTTACTTCCATATCTCTGTGTTCATATAAGAAAACCAGGATGTAAATTAATGTGTGTGTATACTGTCTATTGTCCGGGCTGATGAAACAGTTTACTTCTCTACGTCTTCCTTTCTCAACCCCTTCCACCTCCATGTTGCTGTATGAAGTGCCACGAAAAACACAAGCCTGGGAATGCTGCCTCTGAAATCTGCAGCTGTAGCCGCAGGATTTCCCTTGCTCTGCCTTTCTGCCCACCAGTACCTGGGTTCCTCTCAGTCAGACCCATGTAGCACAAGGCAAAAGAGATCAGTACTTATATAGGAGGCTGAAGATGGCAAGACCGGAACGGTGGTGTTCAAATCTTTTTCTGCCTTCCTGTGTGATCCTAAACCAGACACACTTCTGTTTTATTCTTCAGCTTCTGTTCTCATTTTGCAGGAGGTGTGTGTGTGTGGGGGGGTGTTTGAAGGGTACCATAGGCTTTGAAAATCTGAGTTTTTCTGTAAGTGAAATTTTGAAGTTTCATTTCATCCACTCTGTTCAGTCCCATAGGCAGAGTTTCCAGCTACTAAGCTGTTTTTGTATCCTGTTCCTCTGTACAAATATCTTGAATTTTTACTCACAGGAATATTGAGAAATACTGTAAATGTGTTGTGCACTGGAAGGTTGGTGCAAGAATAGGAGAAGTCAGTCCCTTAGTCCGAAAACAGCACCTGACCAGCCAGGCTGTCTACTTGCTGGACTAGATAATTTCTGTTTCCCAGCACCTATAATTTTGTAAACTTTCTAATACTTGTGCAATAATATCTGCTTAAGTATCCTAAAGTTTTCATGTGTATTTAACACTGCTCACATGGGGTCCTTCTGAGGTTCTTTCCCATTGGAGGCATAGTGTCAAATGGTTTTATGTAGAGAGAATCTAGATAGCCTGTGATCCTCTGTTTACTTATTGACATGCCTTCAGTGAAAAGCTGTGTTCTGGGCTTAGTAGTGCAGAGTATTCCCTATAGGCCAGTGGTCCAGAAGGACAGCTTTCCATGTGTTATGCTGAGGGTTATTACTGTGTTATGACTAGCATGTTTCCTTATCAGGAGGCTTTTGTGGGACTGGTTTTAGATGGTGTTAGTATTACTTTTTAGTTTTCCTCCTACCCTTTTTATTTCTCTTTTCATTCTGTCCAAATGTATGCATAAACCTAGCTGAAGTGGTCCTTCCATCGCAGGGCTGCATAGATGACTTCTTGATTACTTTGTATGTGCCCCTCTTGGAAGATCTTTGTGTATCCTTTCAGGAGCAGATATGTATGCTTTTAGGAGTGGTCGTATTATTTCATAAATTTATTGAGTTCTCCCAACATAATTTAGTTCTTAATTATTTTCTTTAAGTCTCTCCCTCTGAAAGCTTGATAACTTAATGATTAGTTATCACTTAAAGTGTTTTCTTTCTGTGCCAAAAGACTTCAAAGCCTTTTCCTATTTTGCTTTAAAAAAAAAAAAAAAAAAAGAAGGGAAAGCATCCTAGATCAACTTTCTTCTTTACAGTAAGAGGAATTAACCTTTTCTAAAATCTAAGATGGCAATGCCTAGTTGTCATTCAAGGCTTTTTCTAGACTTTTTCCAGTTTGACTTAATGTGTATGGTGTAGACCCATGTTCAGTATTCCAGATGAAAAAAAACCTGATGTGCTGCTTATTTTGTAATTTAAAAAAAAAATTTTTTTAAATCTTTTTTTTTTTTGGTGTGTGTGGAATGTGTTTGATCTGGAGAACTTCAGTAAATTAATATATATTTCTTCCTATAAAAGGCCAGTTCATTGATTGGGACAGTGGGGTGGGCAGGGAAGAATTAATCACTGTCAGAATAATACCAGGATAGAATAGAATCATCACTTTGTGAAAGTTATATTTATTACATTATATAATCAGTATAGAGTGGATTTGAAAATATGTAAATTGTGGCATGACAAATGCTTTAAATGTTGGGATTTAATAAAACATTTTGCTTATCAAGAAAGATGCCTCTAATGACCTTTTATTTCATACCAGTATTCATTGTAGTAGTTTGTGCTGAATAGTTTTAATACACTAATTCTATTTATTATCATGAAGCTACTGACAATAAATCTGACTAGTTTTGGAAAATCATGCACCACCCTTACTGCTAAGTAAGGCATGGTGGAAAGTGGGAGAGCTAAGGCCACTATTAAACTTGCCTAATGCCTACTAGGGAGAAGAAGTCTAGGCTGAAGAGATGAGGAAGTGATGCAGAAAAAAAGATCACTGCGAGGGAGAAAATAAGTGGTTTGTGGTTCTCAGTTTTGGTACTTAATTTTTGGGGTAGAGAGAGAGATGTTCTGTGTTTGAATTTCTAGAGAATTCAAACAACTTTAAGAGATGCTAGAAATCTTCACAGGTGGGAGGGGTTACTTGAGGATTTGTATCCACATTTGTTTGCTTTCCAAGTAAAAATAAAACTCCACAACTCTTTTGTAAATTTGGAGAATGAGAGCTTCTAGCCACTGTCAAAATAGTTTTGTGTGCTGAAACTATACATTTTTTCCCTATGTTGAGAGACATACACATTATAAAATGTTTAGATAGTGTTAAGGTTGCAAAAATAAAGTCTTACTTGACTTAAAAGACAAATTCTTTAGTTCTCCCCTTTTTCATGTGAGTAGGTTCTGAGCACGTAAGATGCAACTTTATACCATTGCCTTTAAGGGTATGGATTTTCAATTGCACATTAATATGATGTGGTATGAATGAACTGTCATCCTAAGCAGCCTGTGTCTGCTGAATCTTCTTACTGAACTAGCAGACCCACTACCCCATCTTCTAGGGAGATGCAGGGAATTCATTCCTGCTGTATGTTCACAGCCATGACTATACAATATTGAGAGAACCAGACATAAATTCATGAGGAGAACTGTTTGTTTTTGTTGCAGGCCTTGGTCTGCAAGCAATAGGTAAGGTCATGTGTTGGAGAACGGCTTGCAGAGAGCAAGGCCATGGGTCTCTGCAGGAGCTGATTGCAGCCATCCGAGGTAAACAAAGGAAAAAACCCAATGTACAGTTAACAAAGGACTGTTAATTTAACAAAGGGAGAAACTGAGGTACACAATGGCCTTGAGTGTGATGGTAAACAACCTTGGGAAAGAAGGCAGGCCAGAAGAAGAAAGATGTTGTGACATGCCTGAAGTGCTATGGGGGGCTGGGATATTATAATGTAACTTTTTACATGTATCCAATAGATTTGTGAGTAGTATGCATGATTACTGTAGAGTGCTTATATAAGGTGCAATTTCTTTCAATAAAGTTGAAGCTTGCTCTATCATTCACATTGAATCGGCTGCTTGCTTCCTCCGCCCGCCGCAGTCATGCACTGAGTAATCGATCATGAAGGGAAGTCTGTTTATAATGGGCCATAAATGAAGTGAATCAGAACAAGTACTCTGGAAGCTGCCTCCCTCACCTTGACCCCATAATAATGCTGTATCAGGCACTGTATGCATAAGGAAGGTGATTTACAATTATGGTCACAGCTTTAAAAGCATGGCTTATAAATGTTAACTGGTACAATGATAATCACTTTCATAGTTAATACCTTCTCATTGTTTTATTTTAAGGAAGTCTTGTTTCTCTGCCAGAGGTGTCCGTCCCCTGAGGGTGGAGCTATGTAAGCAGTTGTTTCAGTGTTAGTTTCTCAACATTTATCTGCCATAAACGGAACAACTGTCTTCCACAGGCCTCTTGATGTGGTTGGTCTAAACGAGGGGTCTGAAATTCTCTTTCAGAGGGAAACAACAGCAGTTTATTTTGACTCCTTTATTTCCAGGGATAATGTGTGCTTTTTTCCCTAATGCATCTCTATTTTTTATTTTTTTTTTTTTTAATAGTATTGCAGAATTGTGTAGCTCACCTGGGTTCTGAGTTTCATTTAATCATGATAATTTTGAAGCACTCAGCTCTGCATTAATGCTGCGAATTGTCACAGTGCCCTAGAGTTAAAAAAGAAAACACCTGAAGAATGAGAAACATCTGCTTGGTGTTCATAAGGGTGAATGAATGGCTTCCTTTGGGGATACACGCGGTACAATTCCATCCTAGTTCAGCATGCCTGGGCATCAAGATGCAGGTTATAAATTTAAGATGAGCAAAAAGTCACTTACATTTGAACTGAAAGGGGAGTAAGCGGATGATACATACCTGTGCATTCTCTGCAGTTGTAATTTGCTTGAGGTTTAACAGCCTAGAGTTACTACAACAATAATTTCCCAGGGAGAATCCCAACATTTGAGTTACTTTTGTTCCAGAGCAGTTCATTTGTATTTCTCCACTCTGTAAAGTCCTGATTTTGTGGACACACATCCATACCTTTGTTGAGTCTGGATTTATTTGAACTTTCATGGAGCTCTTTGTTAAGTAATGTTAAGAATGGGGCCAAGTTTGTGGGATCAGGGCTTAAAAAGTTTCCCCTATACAATACTTGGCAGTCCCTTGCGGCTGTTTTCCTGCCAGCCCTGCCAGGACTCTATCTTCTCATGTCTGGTTGTTACGTGTCCCTCACACAGACCATTTCATTGTTTGCTGTTGGCAGAATGTTTTGGATTGCTATGTACATTTATGACATTTTCCACAACTTTATTTTAGGTTTTCTGTGAAGAAATGCCTTTATCACAGTTGCAACATGCTGTAGTCTTCCTTCTCCTTGGATTTTTGAAGTCTTCGAAAGTTTGTAGAGTGTTTCATTACTCAGTTGCTCAGTTTAACGACAGTCTAGCGATAGGCATGTTTACTCTGAAATTCATCCTCCAGTTTTCAGGAGAGTGTTTCTTCTTTGTACTCTGCCTGGTAGTTTGTACTCCTGTTCTTTTGGTCTGTGACACATTATACTGGCTTCTTTTTGCTGTCTTGTTGCTCCAAGAGTATGCTTTTGGTTGGCAGTTGTGTCCAGTTGTTGGCCAGGAGTCTCAGTGCTTGCAGCTTTATGGTATACAATGCCTGCTGTATTTTACTTTTTCCATTCCTTTCTCTTTACTCTTACCATAGTTGTACTACAGAAAGAAGTGGTTTCATGGGAAGGTTCTTAAAAACTCTGGTCTGTTGGTCCCTGAGTAACCTTTGGGCAGATCTCCTCTCGTAATGGATTGGCTCTCGTGTAGCGGGGGTCACCTGGGGTTATATGATGGTCTACATCTCTCTTGCTTTTCTAATTTCATTGCTTTTGTTTCATGTAAACAATGTCCTTATTGCTAAGCCTCATTCTCCATATGGGACAGGTCAAGGCTCATCTTTTCAAGAACAAGGCCAGTGTCCTTCAATGGCCTTTAATTTACACTGTTGAAAGGTGTATTTCATTTGGGCTAGTATAATGTCCAGTAATTCATGAGGTTGGTTTGGTTGACTTCTGACTTATTTTCTGATAGGTATGGAGAACTATAATAACTGATTACATTTGCTGACTTGTGATTTTACTTCATAAATCCCTACTGATCTTTCATTGAAGCAAATTTTTTTTTTGGAAGTGCGCAGTAATGGATCTGATAAAACACAAATGCAAAGTCACGGAACTTGAAGACAAGCAACCAACTGTTCAGTTGTGTGTGGAGGACAAAAGTAGTACTGGTGACAGGGATACCAAAGATACATGAGAGAGATAGGATGTGAGATGTTAAAGTTTGGTTTAATTTTTTTAATTCTTTTTTTTTTTAAAGTTAAATGTTCTTAAAGACATAGGGACAGGCACTTAAAACATCTTCTGTTTTTCCTTGTTTCTAACAAGCAAAAGAACTACTGCTGTTGGTTGTAGTAGTTGAAATCTTACTAAGATCATAGCCTTACTTGAGGAGTAGTCCCATGCTCTTGAAGTTAAGGTATCTTTCTTATTCTTAATTTATCTAATTCTTTAAGTTCACTGGTTTGGGTGTACTTAGCTGGAAAAGTATTGAAAGTAGGACTTTCTGCAAAAATGACTGATTTTTAGTGACTTACATAAATGTATGTAGTTTGCCAGACTGATCTAACAGTTTTATTCGTACTGGAAACTAAGCTTTCAAGCAGGTATGTATTAGTGCCCTGGAGCATTTAGAATGTGGTATTTATTCCTCAAAAGCTCTCAGCTGGATTTTGCTTTTAGACTTGAGTGTGACATTTAATTGGAATTAGGGTTGTGTTTTCCAACAGTTTAGTTAAGTTGAAGCATTGAGTTCAAAGTGTTGGCATTCACCAAATCTCCCTTTAATTAATTCCTCATCATTTGCGCTGGTGTAAGCAACTGCAAAATGTATCACTGTGGGAAGATGGTACTATATATTAATTAAAAGTGGAGAATGCATGTGGCATATTTTGTTGTAGGAGTGAATCCTGTCCTTGCTGAGTGGTTGGCAGATCCATTGTAGTCCTTCGGTGTGTTAGGCTCAGGTGGGCTATATGAAGCTAGTGGAGAGCTATTCACCATCAGTTATTTTAACATCACTGCACCTTCTATTGTGGACAAGCCACAGATGCGTAGATTGTTCTCTGTGCCTTTCAAGGGAGAAAAAGATTATATTGTGGTGTTGGTTTTCTTTTTCTTTTTTTTTGTACACAGAATATACCCCAGAGAAGTTTTGGGATTGATTATGACTGTAACTGCTTTGTCAAGGATGGGAGACCTTTCCGTTACATCTCAGGTAGCATTCACTACTCACGGGTGCCCCGGTATTACTGGAAAGACCGCCTGTTGAAGATGAAGATGGCAGGACTTGATGCCATTCAAACGTAAGTATCTGGTGACTTTCAAAGTGATTTGTAGTCCTGGGAGATGTAGGAGAAACAGAATGCCACCATTGGTACTTTGTTCATTCATTTTTAATAGATGAGAAAGCTCCAGAGAAGTGAAGGGTGGCACAGGATGACCTCTAACAGCATAGACTGGGACAGCAGGGCAGGTTATAGCTAACAGTGCCCTTCCCTGCTGATAGGCCATGCCTCTTGCTTTATAACCAAGGGTGCAAATGTGACCTGAAATAAATTGTGAAATGTGCTCTGCTTCTGCCAAGGGCATTGTAATCTCTGGTCAAAAGACAGACAAGTTGAGAGGGAACAATAACCTCTTAATACAGCCTAGACTGTATTGCCCTGAAGCCTTGAAAATATTGGCAAAAGCTGCAGTAATATTTGAAACTATTTCACCAAGAATGTTTTAACTTAGAAAAATGGTTGGGAACTAGGTGCACTTTTTCTAAAAAAACCAACCCCCACTGCCCCAAACCAGTTTAAATAGTTTTCAGTTATGTGTACTAAAACTTCATCTTTCTTGACTTTTCTACCTGGTTGTGTACTTATTGCAACAGGTGAGGCACAGATTGGCAAAAATAAGAGTAAGCTGCTTTTTTTGTTTGTTTTTTTTTTAAAAAAAAAAGCTTCCTTGACAAATGGAGTAGTAGAAAATTGTAAGGCACAGTCTTTTCAAGCAATGGTTGTACTTCCCAAACATGTTTGTTTTTCTTTCCTATATCATTACATGGCTTAGAACTTCTCTTTCAAACAGCCTGTTTTTGTGCTATGTACTGCCAGACAGTGTTGCTTCTGGCAGTGCAGTGTCTGTAGGCCAGGGAACTTTGCTCAGTGGGAGTGTTGCACCATCTCTCCTTTTTCTTCCTTGAAATCCATATTTTGTTTGACCTGCAAGTTGCAGGGTTGTCTTGTACACTTTGGAGGTGTGATTAGTAAGGGTTGGTATGTGAAGAACAGATGGCAGGGAAAGAGAAGTTGCTTTTTTCAAATTCAGAGTTCTCTTTTTTTTTTTTTTTTTTTTTTTTTTTGATGGTTTTTGTTGTTTTCTAATACAGCAAGAAAGTTCTGTCTTCCCTCTCATCACATAAGAACGATGGTGTTAAGTACCACTTGCTCAGGACAGGACATGTAATAATTTTTTGCTGTAATAAAAGTAATCTGAAATGGTCCTGAAAATTTTACCTTTTGATGTCTGGCTTGAAGATCAGCCTGGGTCTTGACAGCTGCTCTGTGTCTCCAGTGATCTGTAGTGTCTCATACTTCCCTTATGTCTCTTGATTTTATTTTCCTCCTCCTTCCATCACCTGTGTATTTTCAATGCCTGGTTCACTTCCAGCTTTTTTTAACTGGTCCCTTCCTTTTTTCTTTGAATTTGCCTGTTCATGTCTCTGACACATCACTGGTCTTTTGAGATAATCTTTTCTTTCCTGTTCCCCCATCGCTGTTTAATGTCAGAATTGCTGCAGTACTGTTTTGTTTTTTTTCCTTTCGCTTCCTACTTCCTTTGTAATCTGCTAACAAGGATTGGGTGTTTTTTCCTTTTTTTTTTTTTTTTTTTTTCTTTCACTTGTGGAGATCTCTTACTCTGTGCTTTACTGTTTTGCATTAGTGTCCTTCCACTGTGCAGGAAGGAGTGGAGAGTGTCATGTGTTGCCAATGTCAACTGGTTTCTGTTGGTCTTGGAAGAGCCAAGTTGTTTCTGTTTTGGCACAGAAGGTACACTACAGCTAGCAATTGTTGCCCTGTGGATATTGTGACCTATGGCCTTAGGTGTTGTTGCTGAATCACCAATGACAGATAACAGGTTTCTTACCACTTCCTTCTCTTTTTGTAGGGCAGACTGGGATTCCTTGACGTTCTCCCCCATTGTTGCTTACCTCTGGATTTTTTTCTACTGTAGTGAAAGATAGCTCCTAAATATGTATCTTAGAAGCAGAAAGCATCCCTGTGGCTTGCATTTTCTACAAGAACCAAATCCATATATTTTTCCATTTGATGCTGATCTCTCTTAATGTTAAAAAAAACACAAACAACAAACCAACCACCACCCCACCAAAACCCTGTTGGTTTTGTTTTTTAATTTGCAGATAATCAAGCCTTACTGCTCTTGATAATTTGAGATAAAGCAGTAAATTTTCATGTTATGACAAACAACTCTGCAATGATTTTGTATAGTTTTGGTGAAAATGGAAATTTGTCTAGATGATTACTTAGTTGTGGTTTTGTTTTCTCTTCTTCTGCCTACTTTTTTCTGGATCAGTAAAACTATTAGCAAGGGACTGAGATATCAGATGTGTGAAGTTGTTCTGGAATGGGCAGCAGCACTGCCAGACCTTCTGGTGGAATGTGGTAGTTGGACTCCCAGCCTTGAGGCCACCTCTGAAGACTGATTTTGCTGCTTGGGATTTCCCCCATGAGACAGGACAGGATCTTGCTATAATTTGAAATATGGGAGCCTTCCTTGTTCTTATCAAAGTGCTCCCCAAGGAGTCTTACCACTTCAAGTGAAACAGGATCCTTTTATTACGAGATTGTCCTTGTAAATACCTTGTGGTCAGAGCAAGCTAGACCTGCTCTCCTTCCTGTTCTCTGCAGCCTCATTTCTGAAAGAGTTGCTATGCCTTGATACATGGTTCAGCTAATGACTGAGTCAGCAGCTTACCTGGGACTCCTGAATGGGTGAAGCCATCATCTGTACCTGGAAACATCTTAAGCAATAACAGAATATGAGCAAACAGGTGACAGAAAGCTTGATCTTACATTAAAGCTTAAAATATCAAGGCCTAAGCCTGCCAAATAGCAGGTTGACATTTGATGTTGCTGTTGGTATGACATCCAAGAAGCTGATGGAGGTGTGCCTAGGAACTCCACTCCCTTCCTCAGCAGGCAGCATGCAGGTCACACAAAGGTAACTGTCACTTGTTTTCAGTTCCTGGACTGTGTCTGCCAACAAGAAACTAATGCTATCAAAGACATCTGGAAAGAACTGATAGTGGTTTGTTTGGGTTTTTGGTGGTGTTTTTTTGCATGGAGGAGATATATAATTAACCACTAGATGGGGCTAACTATTCACAGGATTTACAGGTCAGTGAAAAAGCTTCCTGGAAGACTCAGCAGTTACCTTACAGGCTCATAGAAAATTAAAGAATATTGAGCATTTTATTAGTTTTACTGTATTTGTCCACTAATGAGAAGAAAACTATAAACCTGTAGAAACTCCTTCTAAGAAAGAGCTGCTCTTTAGTCTACTAATTAAAAAATAAGCCAAATTTACTTTTTCTAAAGACTTACAAATGTGTAATTTAACTAGCATGTTGCTCTATTATTTATGAAATTAGCACAAGCTTTTTAATTTCATACTATTAAATAATAACCCAACCCTGGTATTACATAGAATTATCCTGTACGTTAAGATAGGTAAAGTGGGGTTTTTGCCTCTTGACATCTCTCTGAAATGGGAGAGGAAAATTGTGACTTTTAAAGAAAAGCTTATAGGAAAAAGCTTAGGAATTGTATGTGAATGAAGAGCAAGTGCTATTACTCAAATACAGAAGAAATACCACATTTCAAGTTTGAAAAAGGAATGTGGCATTCCTTTATAAATTAATTATTCTGTAGCTAAAGCAGTACAGCATTAACAACTGACTACGTATTACTACAATGGTATCCAGGAATTTTACTTGCTAATAATAATAATTTCAAAGGCAAAGGATTTAATTTGAGGCCATTGCTAGCTGTAGAAAATATACTGGGGGATTAAAGTCTATTAGTAACAATTTTTAGACCAGTATTTAAAATACATTTGTATCATGATTTATTTGACAAGAAAGCATTTCACATAACTTTTTAAATTCACTTTCTTCCCTTTTTCTCCACTAAAGTCTACTTTCTTTCCAGCCTTCTGGGGAACCATGGGACATAAATTAAAACTCTTCCTGGAAGAATTTTTCTGTCTTCCTCTATCTTGAGCATGAGGGAGCTGGATAAATCCTTTTGTCCTCCTCTCAGACACTATTAAGAATATTTAGACCTTCAGACTTGTTTCTAGAACAGGTTAATAAAACTCTCCCATGAGTATGTTTTCATAACTAACAAGTTACAAGGTGTAGTTAAATTTCAGCTAGAATACTTTTCTCATATTAACCTTACCAGTCATAAATAACTTGTTAGATAGCCTAAAGAGAAAGGAGTATAAGCAGTTACTGTCTTTCTGTGGTAGTATTTTAGGCAGTTGGAAACTGTTATGAAGTTAATGTCTAGTCATCTTTATTTAGCTCAAACAGGTGCAGCTCTGATAGAAATATTTTTCAGTGAATGAGTTGCTGCATCAACATGCCTGTTAATTCCTCCCAGAAAGAGCTTTGTCTCTTAGCTGCAGTGTCATGTTGGTGATTCATAGTCAGATGATACTTTTCAGAGGAACCTGCAGACCCTTTTCCTATTAATACCACTTCCGTATGCCTTTCTTCTCGTTTTGTATTTTGCCTTTTTCTATGCAAGAGAATTAAAGAGTGGTAACTCTTAATTCATTATTGATACCAGACCACATTGCTCATTCGTTAAGAGCATCTCGAATTCTGATTGTGTTCACTGATGGATTTGCAATCACTCCCCATTTCCAAGAGTGCTGTGCATTACCTCACCCAGATGTCAGTAAAAGCTTTGGATATAGTTAGACCTACCAAAGACACTTGGGATACTCCTCAAAATATGCCATTGCTTTTCCAGAAAATTGTGGGTTGTTCTTCTGTGGTTAATTTTAATTCCATATTAATGTTATACCAACCAGCCTCTTTTTTTTTTTTTTTTTTTTTTTTTTTTTTTTTTTTTCTCTAACTCTTTAGGCAAATTTTCCTGTGAACAAATAGAGTTAGGGTTATCTG